CATAGCAATTATAGTCTTCACCTCCCTTTTATGTGAACGTCAAAGCTACATTTTAGGAATTCTGCAATGGAAAAATGTTTTTTCAATCACTGATTTTATAGCAATAATATAATAGACATTTCACTTTTACATATGTTTTAGATTGTAAGGATGAAAAACATGTCCATCCAGTTAGACTAGTTGATTCATGATCAGTGCAAATAAGGAAATTGTATCACTTAAATTAATAGCATTTGTCAAACTAATTTCTCTTGTTCATTTGTTATGCAGCATTCATAAAATAGTGGTAGAATTTACTCTGACAGTGTTTTCACAATACTTACATTTTCAGCTCAATTTTGAAACCAAGGAATAGACTCGATACATAAAACATAATTTATTTAGACAATAGAATGGATTTTCAACATAAACTGTAGTTCATTTTTTTTATATTACCATGTGGTCTTTGTAATCCTTCAGTTGTCCAGGTAGGTCCAACCGCAGATACTAGTCTATGTGCTCTTTTATTTGTTCTGATACAGCTCAAGATCATTCTAAAGCTGTTCAGGAAAGATTCATTTTTGTCCTGAATGTGACTTTTTCTTTTAGAAGCGATACCTCCATGGAAATATTATTGCTGTGTTTAGAGTACGTTACACAGTATAGATAATCACAAGGGAGACAAGCAAGTTACAGCACTATGTTACATTCAGATCTGTGGAGAGTTGCCCCTATTCACAGAATTAATTATTGTGTTTTTGAGCAATGGAAACACACATAATGAATAGAAGTAAATGTTTAAAGTCATACCTATGAACATCTCTATGGAGACAAGTAGGAAGCGGACCCTCCACCAAAAAAACTGTGCAGTGCACCTTTAAAATCGATTAATACCTGATTTTTTAATACTCTGACAGAAACAAGCTCTACTCTTGTACACACAGTTTCTTCGGCTCAAACTAGGTCAGTTTTTGGTTCCATGTTGCCCCCATTATTTTTATATCCCTTTGAAACATCCGGCTTGGCCATGTTGGCAATACATTTGGCCATCATTGGTGCCTGGCTATAGCACTTTCCCCCTCTCCGCTGGCTCTTTTATTAAATAACACAGTGGAAAATGAATCTAGATGTTTCCCAGAGCTCTCTGAATCATACGACTACACAGAAATTATTACAGCAAAAAAGAACTGTACGCCTCTGTCCCAACCATTACCAGTCACCCCCAGACAGTGTGACAAGCTGATTAAAATGCCCACCGCCGACATGAGCGAGACCACCACTCTCCTTTCAACGCACCCCCGTCGCCACGACAACCCAGCGCCACAATGGCCGACCCGGGTCTATTTAGCTGCGCTGAAAGAGGGGACTTGGAGAGTTGCGGCTGTCCGGCCCGTAGGTGGTAATCTATGCAGAGTTTGAGCCCACTGTTGCCTCCTTAGCATCAGCCTGAACAATGAGCGTACTCACATGGGCCGGTGACGCAGGCTTCATCAGAGCATATGGCCTGTTCTAAACCACTAACTAACCTCAGAGGAATGGTTATTTGTGAGGGCTTTGTTTTTGTAGAGCCGGCATGCTAATGATTCAGACTGGTCATCTTTTCAGTCTATTGTCTTTGGGGCTAAAAGTGGCAGATGTAGTTTGCTGCACTGGAGATGTCAGTCAAAGCAAAGTCTGCGCAGATACAGAGGTTTGATGGACACAGTGTGAACTTGAGGGCAGTTGAGCATTCACAGATGTAGACATGTTATTATTAGTGATTAATTACATACCCACACACAAATTTTACCCATTTTTACTTAAATTTTACAAAATATTGTCAAAAACATCCTGTATAATGATGAACCTGAATGTCAAGATGCACTGTAACTTTTTCACGGGTTCTGGGCTCTGCCACCTGCGTTTTCTCCATGGAGATGTTAAAGCTTTACATGGATTAACTGACAGTACATGGCATTAAATTAAAGGGACAGTCTGGAATTTTGGACATAGGGCCTCATTTCCTAGTGAGCCAGAGTGTCGGAGCCGTGTGGAGACACTTTTTAAATATTCCATCCAGTCCATGTATTTGCAGAGGTCGCTGGTGCTAGGCTAGTGCATGTCAATGGCCACAGTTAGCCTGCCACTAAAAACAGTTTTACAAAAAGCACAAAGCACCCGAGGCAAAACAGTTATAACACCAGACTGTCGATAGAATAATTTTAGAAGTAAAACCAACCTGGCATTTGAAGGATTTATGTCTGAGCAGCAGCGGCGAGTTTGGGAGAAGGCTTGGCAGAGGTGGACTGATATCACCTAGGACCTACCTTACCAGCAAAGTAAAATTCCGCTGCTGCTGAGAAAATAGTCCCTCAACATGCGACGATTCATGTGATGCAAGGTTAGTTTTATTTCAAACATTATTCTATCAACACAAACATTTACATCGACAGTCTGGTGTAATAACAGTTTTGCTTCGGGTGTTTTGTGGAGTGGGTAAAACTGTTTTTAGTGGCAGAATAACTATGGCCATTGACATGCACTAGCCTCGCACCAGTGACCTCTGCAAATACAAGGACTGGATGGAATATTTTAAAAAGTGTCTCCACACGTCTCCAACACTCTGGCTCACTAGGAAACGAGGTTCTATGTCCAAAATCCATGTGTAATGTTTTAATGCAAGAAAATTCCATAAAAACAATTAGTCTTAGTGTGAACAGGGTCACCTCACCACATATCTGTCCTGTAACCTTGTCTGGCTTTGTAGGCTACTTGCGTGTCTCAATGAACAAAAATTAGTTTAATGACATTCTGTGGAATAGCCAAGGCAAAAATACAACATCCCCATGGAGACAACAAGGTGACAGGCCCTCCAAATGAAAAGTTACATAGTGCACCTTTTTAAAAGTGTAAAACCATATCAGAAGTAAAAAATAAAACAACAACAGCACGCAACAACAGAACAAGAAGAGAAAACACAGGAAAATACAGGATACCGGTCAGGTAAATACAGGAAGTAATATTAAGTTTTGCCCCTGATCCCTTTCTAATCTAATGATGATCCATAAAAATAAACAAGTTTAAATAAATAAATACATAAACATAAACAAAAATAAACAAACAAATAAATATCTTTCAAAATCACATCTTAAAACGTGTTAAGCTTGCCTGTTGAGTTGAGTGGTCTCACACTGAAGGCAAACCATTTGATCTCTGATAGTCACAGTGGGAATATCCAATCAAGGTTATGTTACAGAGCCCAGGGGAGTCTTGAAACGTGCCCTGGCGTTTTATAGGGCAATATGGTAAATGGCAATTGACCTGCTCCATAATTAATACAAGCAAATGTGTCTTTATAGTGGCACTGTTAATCCATATAGTATTACTGAATGTGAAGAGGCTGGTGCTCAGTCATTTATACCTGCCTGACTATACAGGGAAGTTGCTATTGTTTAGTTTTGATGGACTTTGGACCAGGATGTAAGCAAGGCAAGGCAAGTTTATTTGTATAGCACAAATCGTAGACAAAGTCAAAGTGCTTTACATTATAGATACATTAAAATCACAATACAAACAAATGAAAACAAATAATCCTCATAAAAATTAAAAAGAGAGAGAGAAGAGTATGAGGTGAAAAATGAAAACTTTTCAGTCATATGCAGCTAAACAGAACCGTTTTGAGCCTTGATTTAAACAGCGTCAAAGACAAGGCCTGTCTTACATTTTCAGGAAGTCTGTTCCAGGTTTTAGCTGCATGAATCTGAAACACTGACTCCCCATGTTTTGGGCAAGGCAAGTTTATTTGTATAGCACAATTCGTACACAAAGTAATTCAAAGTGCTTTACAGAATAAGAAATACATTAAAATCCTAATAAAAACAAATCAAAACATAAATAATCATAAAGATTAAAATTAAAAAAGAGAGACATAAATTAGAGAGAAGAGTGCGGAATGAAGTCCAGACTCTGGGCACCAGAAGGAGTTCGGTCCCTGAGGTCCTCAGAGTGTGAGATGGTTCATACGGCACAAACATGTCACAGATGTACTTTGGTTCTAGGCCATGGGGAGACTTCTACCAAAGTACATCTCTGACTTGTAGATCAGATATGTGCTTCATGAACTTCAACATAAAGTTCTAGCCATGTGAAAATACACTGATGATTCACTCTTGACTCAGTCTAAACTCTGTGGTTTAAGGTTTTAAGGCAGTGATGGGAAAATACAAAATGTATTTTGTACTCCAATCAGAGTGCTGCTTTCTGAATATACTTGAATTACAGTATGAAAAAACATGATATATAATTACAAACGGCTTGATTTTTTATTTTTTATTTTTTGTTTAGTTTTGAATTAACTTATGTCTAATTGGAGAAGGAAAAGTCACATGCATGCACATTACAACAACTATGTTTCCTTTTTTCTTTTCTAATACCATTCAGTCCAAAGCTAAAATTGCATGATCAAGTACCACCATGTATTCTTTAGATTTTTCGAAAAGTAACTGTATTTTTGAGTACCACAAAATTTAAAAAAAAGTTAGTACCAGAATACAGGTACTCAAAATATGTACTTTTGGTACATGTGTAGTTACTTCCCAACACTGCTTTAAGGCAATGTTCGAAATGATTCATATCACCAACTTTGTGTGAATGGGCAACACAATACATTTGTTGTCTGTATATTTAACCAGTAATGTGATTTTTGGCTTGTACATGTCCAAAGCATTTCCCCTCAATTACCTTTATCAGAGATTTTCATGAAGTACGTCATTAAGTCGAGTTACACAAAAAAAGGAAAAAAAAGAAAAGCACATTTTCACTTTCATTCACACACATACCAACCACACCCACCCAGTCACATTGTTGTTATTCTACAATATTATAAAACATCCCAGAAACTCACCGTGGTTCAAGAACAGTCCTTATATGGTGTCAAATCAAGTAAGTATTTATCCATTTCCTTTTTCCTCATGTACAATTTTCAGAGATCAGTTCCTCAAGACACTTTCTACTAAAACCACAAGGGCAGAGCAATTTTCAGATATTTGCTATTCACTTTTTCTGTTCCTATCAAGTGTTGCATTGTGGTTAAATTTGTGTTATTGCCTTTTAATCAAGATTCATTTAAATGTGCAAATTCTGAAAATCTCCAAGTTGCTACTTAATACACTTAATACATTTAAAACATTTTTGCCTATAGGTCTAAACTACAAGATTAGCAGTAGGGCTGTAGCTGACTAAAGACATGTCCTACTGATTAAAAACAGGGTGTGGCAAAAGCTTTCAATACTGCATAGACATACGTCTATGCATCTGACTCTAAATTGCACTCACATACAAGACTACAACATTTAAAAGCTACTGAAAAATGCAGAAAAAAGCACTAGGAAACAATGCATGTATATAAAGACAAATAAAGCTTCTGATTCATGAGTTTAATCTGCTTTTTTTGCACATAAATATAAAAAAATGCAAATCTTCAGCTAAATCACTCAACCACTAACCTCTCTTTTCTGCTGCTGTCCCTTATAAATCCTCAAATAATCTAAATACAACGATTATACCTCCGATTAATCAGCTAAACAACTAAAGGCCTATAGTTAGCCTACCAGGATTTGGCCTAACTACGTTGTTACATGCCATCCCAAAACTTCAAATTGGGATTTCAGTCTTGCAATGAAATACACATATTCTTGTCTTCCCCACAGCGTTCTTATGTTCCCTGTGGCTCTCCAGGCTGAGCACTGTCCCTCTCAGAGCTGTAATTGTGGGAGATTTTTCAGTGAGTGTGGTGCTCCTGTGGTGGAACTGCGTCAGCACAAGCTAATGTAAATAAGTAACTCACACTCTCTTGCCCATGCACTTTCTGACTGTCATTATTATCTTATGTTCTAATGCAGTGCTATTTTGGTTTGGCTTGTCGTATTTATGTTTAAGCAATAAGACATATTTTCACTCATTTGTGTAATCTTGCTTTCATGACTCACCTACTTTTTCTCAGCACTTTTTGGGGTAGTTGTGTGTAAAGGCTCTGTGCCAGTAACTCTGAGTATTGGTAGTTTTTGGATAATATACTGATGTTAATATTAGGGATGCACTTATCCAGCTTTTTCAGTTTCGATTCTGATACTATAGTTTTAAGTATCTGCCGATGCCTAATATCAAGTGGTACAGATGCAGGGACTAATAATAGCAAAAGTCTTATTACATCAGTTGACATGTCTAACCAGGATAACAGGAGAACCAGTATTTGGAAGCCAATATCTGATCCAGCAAAATTTTTAATATTGGTGCCAATATTTGATACCAATATTGGACTGGCACATCTCTAGTTTGTTTTCAGTGCACAAGATGTGTGTTGTGTTTTTTTTTAACAGATTAGTGGAAATGTAAAACAAATGGAAACTCAATTTAACTCAGTGATACTACAAATTGTAGTAAAGGTACATTGTGCAACTTTTCTGGTGGGACGTCAGTCACCTTCATGTTTCCGGAGGTTATTGCTGATCTCTGGAATGTTCCACGGTATGACATTAAACATATCTATCTAGCATTTATTAATTATGGGAGTTTTTCATTGCTCAAAATACAATAATTCTCTATGTGATGAGGGTTGCCTCTCCACAGATCTGACCTGTAATGTAGCCTATAGTTGTCCCCCTTGAGATAGATAGGCTTAATCTCTACCATGAAACATTCTAGACAAAGCAATAACATCTCCATGAAGATGAGCAGGTGATGGATCCAGGTGACATGTGTTTAATGTCATACCGTGGAACATTCCAGAGATCAGCAATAACATCTGGAAACATGCAAGTGACTGACATCAGAAAAGTTGCTCAGTGGACCTTTGTACAGTTTGAAGTATCACTGAGTTAAAATGAGTTTCCATTTTTTTACATTTCCACTAATCTGTTCAAAAAGACACATCTCGTGCACTGAAAACAAACTCACCACCACCACCAACCATTCCGATCCAATTTTTTTACACAAAATTATTTTATTTGTGAATTTTACTACAACTTCACGTCAGTCTGTATACCTTACTGAAGATTTTAAAATCCTAATATTGATATTGGCAAATCAGTTTTCCGCCACAACAGCTATTGGATCCTATATCGATAAACTGGCATAGACTGAAGTAGTTTATTATATTATATGTTATTATATGACGACCATTTTTCATCTCATTCGTTCTCTTTATATTGAACTTGCCAATTCAGCGCACCTTGAAGCTATTGAACATGAACTCCTCTGGTGACCCATTGACCTGGCTTTAACAGGGTTTCAAACAGGATCTTATGAGCTCCATTAAAACCCTCTTCTAAACATGTTAATTAAGTGAGTATATCTGTGTAAGTTGCTGCGCGGTGTTAGTTTTGTGTGAGTAAAAGTTAAAGTGGGCCGCCCTCAGCTGTTGTTGTCATTCATTGTCCCTTTGATCCTTGCGTTGCGATGAGGAATTATTGCCCGTCATAAGTGCATGCAAGACCCTCTCCTCTTTCTTTCACCTAGTCGCGGTCAGAGGTCAAAGGCGCGCTGTCATCAGGGCGCGTCGTCATACTGTCTGCTCCCACAACTGCAGCACTTAAGTTAAATGTAGGGGTTTATGTATTTGCTGCTGTATTGCTTTTGTAACTTGAGTATGTATGATGTGAACTGATCGATTTCTCAGATTTTGATGTGGTAGACCAAGAGTACAACATATTTCATTCAAATACTTCATTTAACTTTATTAATATTATATACAGTTTTGTTGCATTGGATGTTGGTGCTTATTCAAGTAACTACAAGTCACACAGTGAACAGCTAGCGTAGTATGTTTTTGTTGACATAAGCCTTTGTAAATGCAGTTTTTGGTTATTGGTTAACTGTTACCTGTATGTTTAAACACTCAATCAAAAATGCCAGAAACAACTTTGTGAGGAAAGTAGAGTTATTCAAGTTTTTTATCTCCCTGTTTATAGGCAACATTTAAAAACATGCAACCAATTAAAAAATTGAATTGCTAATTGCTATGGCAACAGTGCTAGATTTTCATCACTCTGAAACCCATGAATATGTAACTTCCAAGCGCTACAGGTACTACCCAGGTAATACCCAGTTAGTGTATTTTGTGTTTGTGATTGGACTGAAATGATATATGGGATAGATAGGATGCAGTATATGCAGTATTCTTTGTACTCATCAGATGAATGTCCACCGTTAATGATTCTAATGCCTGTGGTCATGCAGTCCGTTAGCAGCACCTGCCTGTGCAGCCTTCCTCAGTGAAAGACCCTGTTATGGGGGAGTGTGGCCTGGGCGAGCGCTGCTGTGTCCAGGGGAAGTGTCTTTTATGGTGGATCCGCTCAGAGCAGCCCCGGGGCCCAGAGCTGTGAGTCCAGTGAAAGAGAGTCTATTTGGTTGAGCACAGAGAGAGCGTTCACCACTCTGGGGTCTGCACAGACACACCTCTGTCCCAGGGCTCAGGCCACTGCTCTGAGAGGAGCCTATTGAAGTGAAGAAGGCAACGGAAGTGGAGCCGTGCCCAGCATGTGTACGACTGCCTCTCATAATATTAGCCTGCACTCTACACTGACCTGCATGGATACACTGACGTACTGCAGACGACACAGTGTATTGTACAAAGTGGAGCCTTAAGTTTATTTGTAGTCTGTCTGCTGGCTGGGTTTGACTGAGTGAAGGGGAGCAGACAGGTCAGACTGCGGATGGATGCCTCTGTCTCTGAGCAGTCAGGCAGAAGCTACAGTAACTGCATTTTAGATTTTGTCAGCTCCAGCCAGAACAATATTAAGTACTCTGGTTTCCCCAACCAAAAACATGCATGTAGACTAATCCTAGAGTGAGGTACTCTTTATCCTGGCTTAGAGGGGCAGTTTTTTCCATGATGTTGAGCAGAATTTGATTTGCCCCAGTACAGATCTACTAGTCCTGTAAAAGCAGCTATTAGGGTCAATATAAAATCACTGCACTGTCAACATCTAATTTGAACTTGGACAAAGCAGGAAGTGAAATCTGCTCTGGCTACTACTAATAGTTGTAAAAAGCTCTTAACTCATATTTACTAAGTCTTTTTTGCCTGAGGTTCTCAGTTTAGTTTTCATTACTGTACTGGGCTGTGCAGAGCGTCACGGGACGCAGGCTCAAACTGTAAAAAAGGACACGCATTGTAAACCAGTTGGCATTTTATCAAGGAGGCAAAACTATTAACTTTAAAGGACCCATATTAAACTGATCTGACCAATGTTCTAAAGTTGTTTCCTCATCAAAAACCATCATGGAGTTGTTTTGTTTCATTCTCACATGTTTAACACACAGAGTTCTTCTCTGAAACAGAAAACACACTGTTCCACTTTTTTTTCTCTAGAATAATTTGGATAATTTCAGCCCTGGATTTGCCATAGATTGTATATAAATGGACATAGCTAACCCATTAGTCGCCATGTTCCAAATAGGAAGTGAGCATGGGCACGCTTCCTGCTCCACTGACTCTGGCTCCGTTTGACTTTATATTAGAAAATTGTCACTCTCTGTGTAACTGCTGCTGTGAGCCTCATCATTTTGGTCTTAAAATGTTCGTATTAACTCGCTCCTAATGATTCTGGTGTTTTATAACAGCTATTAGGAGTGTAACGATATCCAGGTCTCATGATACTATATCGTCACGGTATTAACCTCACGGTGTGATATTTATTGTGATATCGTGGAAAAGATCACGATATGGTGGGGAGGCTCGCGATTAGGGATTTAATAATATCCAAATCTCTCAATTGTCAATTTTTTCACGATATACATCTCACGGTATATTTATTGCGATATTTTGTATTTAAACTGTTAATATGCTACTTTTTCCTCTTAAAATGCCTTGACTAGACTTAATCCAAAGAACTAAGATTTAAAAGTACTTAGAACTGTTATTTCTCCATGTAGTCTTCACTGAAACAGAGCAAAGGATCATGGTCTATGTAGTTCCCTCTGTCACTTTCTTTCCCTCTGTCTTTTTTTTTATTTACACAAAGAGACTTGTAATTCGATAGATTGTGATGGTCCACGATATTATAGAGAGAACTTTGATGATATGATATTACAATATTTCGGTTATCGTTACATCCCTAACGGCTATCCTCTTGAGCCTCATTTGACTGAAGCCAAACGCTATGGGTGACGTCACACTCCCTTAGTCCACTAGTCCACTTCTTTATGCAGTCTATGTAGTGAACGCACCTGGGCCTGTGTCAAGAATACCCCTTCACTCCACTGTGTAACATCCCTGGCTCCGGTCCCAGGACCCCCACTGGACTCCCGCTACTGTCCCCCACCTCTGCTGCGTCTGACCACATATTTTATCGGACATTCAGCGGCAGTCACGCCTCATTAGCGCCTTTACAAAGAGGAGTTCCCAGCAGACAGTTCCAAAGAAGATAGAGGAGACAGAAGAGCACGGGGTCACTCACACGAACACAGTATGGGACAGTTTAGAGCTCTGTAAATCCACTACATACAGTGAAGAGGACACATTTGTCTCTGTTATTGTCACACAGCATGGATAGTGTGGAAGTTGTGCAAACAGACCACAGCATAAAGGGGAAGTTTGTATTTTATGTGTTTATTTGTTTGCTTTATGAGAATGATATTTTTGTTATTATAATAGTCACAGATTTTAAAAGTCCTATATTAGGCAAACTCTCTATCACTCTTATAAGCCTTAAGCCATGTTAGTATGTTGTTACCTCCTCAAAAACATACCTGGAGAAGTGTTTTCTTTCATTCTCACATGTTTGAGTAATTCTTTATTATGAGAGAGATGGAAATCCAGGGCTGAACT